ACACGCTCAGGTCTGCCGCGCAGCCATTCACAATGAAGGCATTGCTGGTTGTCTGCAGCTTCTTGAAGGAGAAGACTAAATAGATGACCATCACATTGGATAAAGTCCCTGAGATAGCTAAGGCTGCATAGAGCAGCGACAGGAAGATGCGGGTCCCAGAGGAGTCCTCCCAGAGCAGCAGCAGAGGCGAGCTAACACTCCAGGAAGAGGCGTTGGGCATCTCGCTGAATGCAGCTCAGTTTTGGCTTCTCCCTGTAAATCCCATCCTTGTCTGGGTCAGAAGATCCTGCTGCAGGGGTCCCTCACCAAGCACGAGGGAGGATGTGCAGCTGAGGGACTCTAAGGCAGGTTTCAGTCATACAAGCTGCAAGGTCCAGAAAACACAGTTTGCAGTAACGATCCAGAGAAGAGCAGTGTCCAAGGCAGGTAGATAGCCAGAGTTCCCACAGATTGTGGCTAGCACAGGTGGGTCCATAGGGAACAGATAGCTGTTAGCAGACCAGACCACAACTGAGAATTCTGTAGCTGTGAAAATGCCAAAAGCAGCAGCACCTTGCAATCAGCAGCAGAAGCGGCAGCAACTGATACAAAGCTTTGCAGTTTCTCCTGTGCCACAGTACGTACACTGTATATCATTCCAGGAAGATTCAGCCCTTCCACTCTTCATGAATTATTCAGCAGATTTTCAACTTGTTAAATCAAGAAGAAAAAAAGAAAAGCCCAAATCCTATCATGCTCCAGAAATACTGCAACTACAGTCTGACTCTTTTTCTCTTTGCCTTACCAGTTTCCTGGTTCTAACCCATTTACACAACTTGCATTTGCAGCAAGCTTTCAAAGCAGTATCAGTCCTTTCTGTCTGAAATACAGTCCATTTACTGTGGAAACTCCTCTGCTAGATACTCACTTAAACTGATCTTTCCTGATCTTATTTTAGTTAAGAGAAAGCGCACTGTGCTTCTGCAAGCCTGAAGTTAATTTTAGAACTAGTCTATAATAACAATACACTTTCCAAATTAAATCTTCAAACACGATAGATACACAGATCCTTGGTCAGACAGTACTACTAATTTGAGGAAGCTGGTCCTCAATCTACATATTTTACATTTTTTCATAAAACTCAGCCTGTCTCAGCCCGCAGGAAATCCTGCACCACCAACCTGCCAGAGGGGAATGCTGGTGTGAGTACGTACACAGATAAAACAGAATCAGCGTAGCATTTGAAATGGTCTCGCACCAAAATTAATTCAGGGCACAAGTTCCCGCAGAGCTGAATGACAAGTTCTTAGGCAGCCTAAAAGCTGGTTGAGGAGTAGGGCTTAACAGTCTCTTCCCGAATGGAGAAGAATTAGTAGTGGGATTCTCTCGGGAACTCCACAGTGTTTTAGCTCAAACAGGTACAAAATGTGAACTGTCCTTACCTTGGACAAGATTTAATAAGAAACCAAGTAAAAGAACTTACATTTCCTCTCAAAAGCTTTCCAGAAAAGGAATGCTGGTTAATTTTGTGGTGAATTTAGGAGAAAAGTTGTTTTTACAGGTTGGTTATATGTGGGCTACAGAAGTAAGTAATCTCAGCTCATACGGTATGACCTGTGTATTGACCAAAGATCTCTTTATAAGGTGTTTTTAGATATTATTAAACTGACAATGCTAAATGAGAATAGCAAAATAATATATTAGGATGTAATTATAGTTACAATATACATTAATATAATCAAGTTGATTTGTGTGGATCAATGGATTATTTTGTTGCAATTGACAGGACTATTGATCCAAATGTGGATTTGTTACAAACACGAATATCTATGTTCATTTTTTTATTAATTAGATTGCTCATGTGCTTAAGGTTAAAGACATACCTGAGTGATTTACTTGATCAGGCCCTTAATTACCATATTTTTTGCCTGCTGCACTTTACAGTGTAGCTCTAATCAAGTGTCAAACCTTTTGAGGCCTTTCATTGTTTAGCTGTCAGTAGAGAACAGTTATTATAGAAACTAAAATCCTCCTCTTTCTGCAGTATTGTAATTGAAAAATATTCTCTAAATTTGTAACAAGAAATAGCTCCCTAACCAAAAAGCTCCATAAAGCATACTTTAAAGAGATGATTAACAGTTTCATAAGGCATTAGCCACAGAATCATAGGCCCAGTAGAGACCTCCAGATGTATTTAATCCATCCTTACATGTTTATCAAACCTCTTTTTAAAGATCTCATGTGCTACAGCTTTTTATCCCAGAACAAGGAGATATATTTATATATGAAGCAACAGAAATCATAAAGTTCAAGGATAGGCGAGCAGAGGATATGAAACACATTTCAGAGTATTTCTTAGAAGCTCGAGGATTCTAGGCTTCCCTGACCTTTCACTGTCCCCAAATTTGTTGTGTTGTTAAGCAGCTGATTCTTACAGCATACTGGCTATATTTTTTATTCTTCAAAATGAATGATAAATATGTTGTACATCAGCTGGCATTTACTGTATTTTTATAATAAATCAATAGAAGTTAAGTCTAGAAAAACGCTAAGGGATAGGTTGATTCTTGTGTACTAGAAACTTTTAAATTAGCAGTTCTTCCTTTACATTTACTCTACACATCCAAATCAACATCCATTGATTGTCTGTAGTGGCAGAAGCCTTTTATTGTGTTTTGAGATTAGACTGCCACTAGAATTTGGGAGACTGCTAAAGCATCCACTGTATTCCTGGCTTTGCCATTCCTTTAGAGTGGCTGGGTAACAGTTACATACTGTCCACATCATCTGTTGCAGTACAGACTTATCTGACAAGAGTATTAACCGCTGTGGATAAATAACCATGCAACACAACAAATTTACTGAGAATCAGCAGCTGAGTTAAACAATGTTACAACCATTTGTGACTAGTTTTTAATTGAAGGATAAAAAACTAAATAAAAGCATGATCTTTTAGGTTCTTTCGGACAAAGACCCCACTATTGGTGAGACTAAGAAACGCGTTGTACATGCAAAAATACAAGGTATATTACACCTTTAGCAAGGGTCCTTGTCCAGGAAAAAAAAAAGCTTCCTCAATTCAGACACAGCTTTTAAATTATGGTATTTTGAAATATAACCTTTACATCATAATAGCAACATGTTGATTAAATCAATGCTTGATGTTATACAAAGCAAATAAAAGGTTAGCTAGAGAAATCAGTTATAAAAGATACCTAGTCATACTAATGTCTTTTTGCAACATTATCTTATTTATAAATACATTACATGCTTTAGAAGAAAGAAGGTGTGTTTGAAGAGGTACTCTTCAATTAGAGATCTAATCATATTAGTTTACATCAGAAGATCTAAGTAAGAAAAGCCAAGAAACAAGGAAGCTGGCTGATATAGGCATTTTATTATCAATTAGCTGTATGTATATATATATCTACATTTCAAAATTAATTTTTTATTAAGGAAAACTATTTATAACAAAGTACATGACAAAATTCTTTATAAGAGGTAGAATTACCTTACCATTAATCTATAATTCATATACAGTATATTGTATATATATGCACACACATATGCTACTTTGTGTGTGTATATGTTACATATACACAGTTGTGAAAAAAGTACAGTATTGCATGTAAATTTCATTCAGTGATTTATATAGCTGCTCTCAGTATTGCTTATTAACACTTTCAGTACAACTTCCCATAGCAATTTGTGACCTGATCTTTTTTAAAAAAAAAATAATGTGGCACTTCATCGTAACTTAAGTTGTAAAGCAAACACAGGGCATTCACAGGTCTTCGAGAACAAAGACTGCCAATTCAACCAAGTTTTATTTTCAAGCTTCCATAGATATTGGAAAAACTCATAGGTAAAAAATCTGTTTTGTTTTTGTCTTCTAAATTAGTGGCAAATCTAGTCCTCACAGCTGCTTACTATGCATTTGTGGAGTTCTCAAAATTTTACATGAGATCTCTAGTACTTCACTGTAATACCACTTCATTCTCAGTCTCATTCCTAATCACACCTGATTAAACTATACGTTAAAGAGCATCTTCACTACTGACAAAAATATTCTGTGATACAGGAGGTTACATTATCTGTACGTATAACAATAGTTTTCAAGTTAAAAAGTTTGCGAACTGTCCAATTGGTAAGTGAAAATTTAATATACTTCCAACATTTACTTTAGTATGCTTTGCTAATGAAACTGTACACATACTGCCAAATGTAGGTTAAAAACATCTAAGTATGCAGCACTGCCAAATTCATTGTACATATACATTCTTACCAACTTGTTTGGTCTGCCTTCATTTTTGCAGTATATATTGCATAGCAAAATTTAACATTCTACATTAAAGCATACCTTTAAGACAAATTGAAAGAAAACATTAATTGTACAATTGAATCATCAGATAAATTACTTTCTCTTTGCAATGAAAGATGTAAATTACATCTCAACAAATATTTTCCCTTTATTTTTCTTTCATAGTGTTTCCTTACGAAACATTAGCAGCTGAAAGTGGAAAGCAGACTATGTATCAAGTGCTTTCAGTTGATAGTGTGACAACTAATCTGTCACTAGTTAGGCTTCCATTAAGTTACTAGAAGACCAATTAGTGAAAAAGTAATTACATTAGGCTTTTAGCAATCATGATGGACCCATAAACCAAGAAAAACATCTGGTTCATAAAAAAATTTCACCTTTGAGAAACACGTAAAAATTCTTTAAAATACACATTTTTGTAGCAAAGAAGTGAACACTAAATTAAAATATATTCTAATTTTTACATAATTTTTATATATATTCCTTACCAAAATATTCTCTTAATACATATTTTAACACTGTACACAAGTTATTAAATGTCTTAATGAAACTCATTAGAAATATATTCAAGCTGTCTCAACATTAAAAAGTTCAACCTGTATATAACATGGGTAAAATAATTTCCATAAATTCAACATCAGTGCATCTGCAGTAGTAATTAACAAGAAATTTCTGCCTGTTAAGAAGTGTCCTCTTGGTGTTAAGGTTTTAATATATCTTGTATTGAAAATTTCTCCTCTGAGTGAGCAGCTTCCTCCCTTAAGTTCTTCTCCTTCATGAAGGTCTTCGATTTTAAGAGCTCAACCGGTTTCACCAAAGCAGCAAGGCTTTCGTACTGAACATACTCAGACTGAAGGGACTGTGCAGAGAAGAAAGATTGATTAAAACTCACTGGGAGGTTATAGTTGTATACAATATGCATTTTGCATTTCAAGACAAGGAGTAGAGGAAGGACAGGAAGAAGAAAAATAAACAGAGAGTTGGAAGGGTAAAGATGAATAAAATAGAAGAAACTCAAAAACTGGACACAGTAAAGTCCATCAACTTTCCTGTATCTACACATTATTTTCCGAACAAAATTCTAGAGATTCTTGAAGAAAGTTTTACTTTAAAACACCACCTTAAAACAGTGTTGGAAAAACATATGATCACGGTTACTATAACTGAATTGTTTCCATTTATCCTGAATGAGAATCAAAGTGCTAATGTAAAAAATACAGCATACTTTAGAGGTTGATTCAGGTAATGACATAGGAAACATACGCTGTAGTTAATTACTGAGAAAAAAAAAGCTACAGCAGTACCATTATGCACATGAATAAATTTATGTATGATTCCTAAAATCAGATGAAAAAGAAGCACTGACAATGGTTCATCTGGATTAGCAAGCAGTCAGTATAATTAAGAGGAAAGCAGAACATGGTCTACTCTATTTATTTACATTTCTGGTTCTATTGAAGTCTAAGATTTTATAATAAAAGTAATTAATCAGTTTAAACAGCATCCAAACATTTTATTACCTCCTATACAGATGTGTTCAGGAAGTCATTCTGATGAATAAAAGGTCTTATCTGAGAGAGCTCTTCACTGAGCTAGTATGGTTATAAACAAATAACAAATAAAAAACCACACCCATATTTTAAAACTACATCAGATTATTAAAGAAATTAATCAGAATTAGAGAGAACTACTGGAGAACAACATGAATCCCAAGAAAGCTCAGAACCTTGGAGTTTTCTATTTTCCCACTGTTCCTAACTAGTCACTATGGAAATGCTCTTTGGCATCCACAGTGAAACCTATTAGTACAAGTGCATAATAGATACATAAACCTTTAGAGCTCTATCTATCACAAAGCCACTTTCCCCCCCCCCCCCTCCCATATCTTAAGTCTCAGTGTATATTTCCAAAGCTGTCTTTTAAATGCATTTTCAAATCTTGAAGATCTGAGACCATCTGGATATTCTTTCCTAGGTTGAAAAAGAAGTGCTGTCAGCACATAAAGATTTGAATACCACTGACTAAAAAGGGTCTGTTTTTAGTACTGAATGGATTCAACATGAAGGGTATCATTTAATAGAAAATACTTTAGTGTAAAACTAAACAGATGTAACAAGTATTTTTTCATTATAGGCTCAGAATCACCATGGCATACGCAATCATAGAAGCTTATTTTTCCCCACTCCATTTTCTAATCATTCTGGATTATTAGCTTCAGTGAGTGTGTTTGTCAAGCCATTTATTACAGGTGTGAAGCAGAAGGAATAGCCCTTCTTTAATGAGCACTTGAAACTTCTGCTCTCTTAATGATCCTCAAAGCTTTCTCATCTTCAGAAATTTGTTTTAACAATCAGAAAGATGGTTACACTTAACTAGAGCAGTATTTGAAATGGATCCTTCAAAACTGAATTCCAAGTAAAGCTGATTAACAAACATTTAAAAATGCAGGAAATTTAATTATATACCCTCATATGTTGTACGGTAATATATTACTTTAATCTTGGACAGATGAAAGATGACCAGAAAGCACTGTGCACTTTTGTTGATCTTGGGAACAGCTAGCATTAGCTGACAAAGAACTGTGAACAGCAGCTCTTTACTTGGCAGACAGTAGTAATCAGGAATTCTACATCATAATTTAAATAAATAAACAAGGAAATCATAAATTAAGAAATCTGAAGTTTAAACTGAAATTCTTAAAATGATGAGGAATCCAAGTTACAAAAATATGGAAAAAAAAAATGAAAGGTAACTTATAAAAAAAGAACAAATACCCACGCAGCACAGATTGCTTGGAAACAAGATAGCATGTTTTGTTAATTTTCATTACAGATGGTCAGGCAGGGTTTATTTTATTTATTTCCAAATCAAGAAATATGTTTTTCAGTGTGTTCCCACCCTCACTGTAGCTCTACTTCACATAGCAATGATTTCTTCCTAATGTTTCAAAGTCTTTTCTGAATACACGGAAGAAGTGAATCTAAGCAACATTAAGAATAATTGGTGTGACTTCCCATAAAGTTCCTATTATTAAAAACATGGTGATAGCCATAACAACTGAGCTGTTGTAAAGTATACAGACTAATTCTTGAGTTTGAAAAATTAAATTATAGCTGGGGCTGGATGGTTGGGTTTGTGGGGGTTTTTTTTTGGTTTGGGTTTTTTGGTGTGTGTTTGGTTTTTGTTTTTGTTTTTTTGCTTTTTTTTTTCTTTTGCTCTTAAATCTCTTCACATTGTCCAAAGAGATTGACTGTAATATTACAAAGCCCGTACTTGTGATCTTTCCCCCCCCCCTTTTTTTTTTTAAATCTTTTGAGGATTTTTCTATTTTAAAATTTACATTCCTACCTCCTATTTGCAGTGACTCAAAGTATGGCCTGTGATTCTGAAAGCTTTATTAAAAACAAAAAGCCCCAATCCACCTTTACAAGTCATATGCTGGTATTTAACAAAATCTTATTTAAAATAGAGGTAAAAATAGAAGGGAAAAACCAAAGAAAGTTGACTGCTGAATTGTAATGATGAGAGTATAAAATCAGTTAATTGAGTAGAATTCTCAATGTGTACTCCTACAGTGGTCCCATGCAGTGTCAAGCTCGGCATTTTATACCCAAGTATCAGACATTTAAACAAAGAACTAAGAATTAGATAGCTTCACTACAGTTAACGATATCTAATGAATTTCATGCTGAAGCAACTGCTTAGATCACTATCATTTTTCTTCTTCAATAGGTGGCACAGAAAGCCTCCCGGAAGAGAAAATAAGCCACAGATCCATCTAAGCACTAGAACTGTATTTGCATGCATTCAACTTCAGGACCAAGTCAGTTGAGAGTTAACTTTTAAGAGGGAACAACCCTATAGCATTTAGGGCTATTTGTTAGCACTTGAAGATGCGCTTTTTCTAGATAATTGCAGGACATAATTTAAGGTTTTTGAATTGTGCATCAACTCTCCCAAAACATTGTTGCAACAGGAGTGTTGCAGCAGGCAAGAATTACTGTGAATACACAAGATCCACTAAAATAAATCAGGATATATTATAGAAAATGCACACGCACTTGAAGTGATCCTTTGAGCCTGCTAAATTTACGGATCAGTAAGATGCACTAGTGTTTGTCTCTCTTTGCAAAGGCTGTCCTATATTTGTTAATGGTAAGTTCTTATTAAGAAAAACTATTCTACAAGTACAAAGATCATGTATATGAATTTTAAAATACTGCTACACTTCTCAATCTTTTAAAATTTTTCCATCTTGCCAGTTTCCATGACAGCTATAGAAGCAAAAGGTGACTCATCTTAAGACTACTCAGTTACATACTCTTCCATAAAAATCAATTTTGAAGAGTGGTATTTGGATTTTTAACTACTGTAAGAACAAAGTAAAAATCTTACTGTAGTACCTTAAATGTGATTATACTCAATAAGAGTATTTCTGCAACTTGTAATTCTGAGAGATTCTGTTTAATAAAAACATCAAATTTGTAAAATTTGCAAATAAAATATTTATTCTATTTGGTTAGAATGGCAAGTTGTCTATTCTATGAAAATGAGGCTTTTCTTCCAGTTCATCACCATACAACAGCATGAACATGATAAAAAGGAAGTGGATTATAAGCTTACACTGATAAACGACAAAAACTGTTAGGAAAAAACATATGACTGACAAAAAGAAGTCGTAGTCATGGTTATTTTTTATTTGTTTTAAATGGAATGTGGAACAGTAATAGTAATAATTTTTTTAAATGTTTTATTACAAAACAGAAAAAAAAGTATTAAAAAGAACTTTCTGTTCCATACTGAGGGGGGGGCTGGAAATGTACTTGCATTGCATAAAAATGAAGTTCCTAATTTCCTCACTAATGAGATTAAAGAACTTTAATTAGAACTGAAAATTTACTGTCCTAACCGTCTTAAAATGCCTCTGCACCACTTCTGTCAATAGTTAACCAACTTAGAAAGAGAAATAAGAGTGATAAGGTGGTTTTCTAAAATACAGTACCTATACTATTACAGATGGTTAGCTTGCTATGTAACTCAGGTAAGTGAGATTCTGCTAATAAAAAGAGAAGGAATATAATTCATATCACTCAAGAGTTCTTTGATGAGATAAGTTAAATGATTAAACATAACCACCATTATATGTAATAGACTTCTGTCAGGTATATTATGTGATGTGCTCCAACTAGAAAAAATGCAATGTAATACAAACACTTATTGCAACAAGACTAAGATTCGGCTGACAACACTTTCAAGTAATTTCAGCATCTAAAGCAGTGAAGTGGAAATCACTAAAGAGAATTGTTTTTTTAACAGAATTCTGCCAGAACTGGTATTAAGGCTTGGTGCTACGCTGTATTTTGCTCATGAGCTTAAGACCACTGATGAGTATCACCAAAAGCAAAATAGCTGGATGTCAGTGGTTGAAGTGGTAAGACAAAACAATCTTGCTTGGTTGGTTAATTGGTTCCATTAAGAAGAGGGGAGAAAAAAAAAGGGATCGTGCTTTTATAGAGCCAAATGCAGAGTTACACATAAAAAAACAGAATGCAGGACACTGGACTAAAATACAAGTCAGTATCTTGGATATTCTTTTTTTTTTTTCCCTCCCCATGAGTTCCCAATGCATTACAGTTGAAGAAGCTAACACAACCTATGGATTTATAAGCAGGACAGCACTAAATAGCAGCTTTCTGGGCCTGAAAGATGAATGTTAAGAGTGTTGCATCTACTTCTTGAAAAAGGATTTAAAAAAAACTGTATTGAACATTTTCCAAAAGGATGTTTGAGCCAACCTAGCTCATCAAAAGACAATCAAGTTGAAATGACTAGCACGAAATACCTTCATGACAAGAAAATAAGGTAATAAAGGACTATAACAGTGACATAATAAAGACACAGACCAAGTTTCAGATTAGAAGTAAAATGGTTTTAAGCATGACTGTATTCAACCAGTGGGACCAATCATCAAGAAAAATTCTGTCTTCAAAATAAACCACCATAATGTGGTTTCTCTGTATTAGCCAGTAGGTCAGAGGCTCACTACCAGACAGAAAGCATTCACAGGTTAAATGATCAAATAATCTACTCGTCTTAAACACTGTGACATCGCAGTAACTGTACTCAACTCAGTCAACTGTGCGTAAAATAGGTAACAATTCAGTGCGCTCCACTGTGATTGTGACAGATTCACAGGGCCATATGGTATATTTAGAAGCAGCATGCAACATTCAGGACATGTTTGAAAAACATCTTCCAAGCAGAAAAGAAGTTTAACCATTATTATATTGAAATAAGATTACAGGTAAGTCATAAACTCGTATTTTGCTACATAGACTATGCATGGCATGATTCTTCCTAAGAAATTGTGCTTCTCACATCACAATACATAAAATCCTTTTTCTCTCACCTTCCTCTTACAGGAGGCTGGATATACCCCTCATTTAAAGATCTTGCTGTATCTGACTGTGTATAACCTCTACTCCTAATCAGCAAATGATATAAAGCCAAGAATTGTTCAAAGGTTACACCCTTACATCTTTCCCTTCACTACTAAGTCATTGAAGATTTAAAGTGTTCTTAAAGCAGGAGAAACGCGTATTCTAGAAAGCTACTTTTTCTGCAAAGATGTTTCCCATTCAACCTAAAACTTCATACTATGCCTAACATACTTCATTTAAATCACTGTTTAAAGTCACTTAAGAGTTTTATTGCAAGGGAACAACAATTCATTTCCCTTTTCACCAAGATGCACATAGCTGTCCCGCTGATGTCAAGATGGATGTTCACCTGTTCATGAATTGCTGTTTTCCTCTTCCTTAAATTAAGCAGTAACCAACATTTTTCGCTCTTCTCTCTTTTCCTAAGTATTTTAGTCACCCTTATCTAAGAAGGAAATGTGTGCTACAATATTAGAAGAGACAGTTACGTTCTAAATCCCTCTCCCCACATATATTTGGGGAATTTTTGTGTCAATTCCATTATGTTGAACCTTGAGAGTTTATGAGATTAAATAGAAACAGTGATAACTTAGAATTCAGTAAATACCTAAGACATAAATAAGAAACAAAGTGTCAACCATTACTTAATTTCTTAGCCTATGCTTATGGAACAAGCCCACTAACTCTGCTTTTGTTGTTAAAAATTATTTGTAGCATAAAGGTATGGCAACAACCTTTCCAAAGGAGATGACAGTTCTTAGTTTTTAAGATGTTATGTTTTCATTGAACCTTTTAAGCTGTTGGAGGAAATGTGCTTATTGTTTCCTAATGGTTTATATTATCATTTGGTACTCTTGTAACTTTTGGCCTACTATGAACAATGTCAGCTTATTTCCATGACTGAGTCACATTACAGTTCTAAGGCATTTCTTCCCCTTAGGGCTCTGCATGTAGGTTTACATATTTATGGATAATATGCAGCTGTAACTAGAATATTGAAAAAAAACTCTAAGAATTGCTGCTGACAGCATATTATTTACTGAAGGTACAATAAAAAAGAATGGAATGGGTTGACCTTCCAAAGAATTACTGTTCAAATACATTAAATATGAGACAATATTGAAGGTGAGAAATAAGTATAAAAAAAAGTATCAGACACTTTTACCACTTAGTTATTCAGATGAGTGATTGTTCTCTACCATTGTTGGTATATTGACTTTGGTTGAGTATACTCAACTGGACCCTCTGTCAGTCCTCCTGAGGACTGAACTTCTGTAAGCATGTTGGATAAAAGACTGGCCACATCTAAAAACGCTGACTTTCCAGAACCATCAGAATTCATGAACAAATGAAAGACTCATGGATGCATCTCAAAACAAACATCCTCAGCTTGCTATACAGCTTTTCACCTCTCTCCTCATCTCTACTCCTGGAGGAATTAAACCAAAGTAGTTAAACTAAACCAGTTCTCTTGTTCTAGAGCTGGTTTCATCATCAGAAAACTGGGGTGGTTTCTATATCCAACTTGAGAAAAACCTCAATCCCATATAGCAGGTAAAAACACAGTCAAATTAAAGAGGTAAAACAACTTCAAAAAACTGAAAGGATGTGGCAATACTCAAGAAGTCCCTCGCAAGTAAATTACTGCTGATGTTTAAAGTAAAGTTTAAAGTCAGGTTTAAACTCAATGCAGAACACTCAGTAATCTTAAGATCATGGAATATTAACATTTATTTCCAGATAAGCTGTAGTGGATAAGAAGCTAAATGTACTTTCAAACAAGGAGTCTGAAAGCATCAAATATTTTAAAGAGTTGCTTTAGGTCAAGCACATCCTAGCACAGTAACTCTACTCCTTTTCCAGTGGAACTATCCATTGAATTTAAGAGAATACAGAATCAAGTTCCCTCAACTAACTTCACTTTCAATGTACTTTGTATACTAATTAAGTTTGTCACACATGCAATTTAATTCCACAATAGAACAATAAGAATTTATTTTCTACTGTCATCTGTCCTCAGAAAGTGCAATTCATACTACCAAGCTATAAACATGTGGCTTCTGAACTGTAAGTGTTGCCACATCCCAGCTGCTAACGAGAGGGGAGATCCCCCACTTCTTCAGGAAAAAGAAAACACAACCCACGAATTATCTTTTTGGCTGACATCCTTTTTGGCTAATGTATGCATTAGCTGTTTTAAGACAGGGGACTCGCCACACTCAAAAACAGTAGCAGGTATAACACCAATACTTGCTTTATAGTGAAACAATTTATCAGTGGTAAGGAAACAGAAAAGAAAGTTGTAATATTCTGAAGTGAATTTTAGATGAAGATAATTTTATTTCCAGCAGTTAAAAAAAAAAAGTCTGAAGTGTCAGTACGACTAAATAGAGGCTGACAGGTTCAATTAACTGTAGTCAATATATTCTATTATAAACACTGCACTAATTTTTATAATTAGTAGGATATCAAATCTTTAGAAACCAGGTATTTTAAATTGTTTTTAGATTTCTAGTAGTAAATATGCTTATTTTTTCCCCTAAAACACCTGAAGTTATTTCTGATTTCATAACTGAATTTTCTGTAGAGACTCTTCTCTGCATTTGGTGTAGAATCACTTTCAAGTTGCATTAATTTATCCATGCATATGCATCCTCTTTATATAGACTCTTTCACACAGAAAAATGGCATAAAATAAGCCCAAGGCAGCAAAGCTGTTGAGGAATGAAAGCTAAAATGGCAAGACCATCAGAAATATCTTGCTCTAAAATACTTTTCATATTTGGTGTTAGGAAAGAACTAGGTTTCAAGTCATTCTTGAAGTATGTTGTACCTTGGAAGGTATGATGATAGCATGATACATATGATTTATGTACGGTATGATTTATGTAAGGTATAATTTAGCATGATACATACAAAGGCTTCTTTGAATCTGTTACTGCATGAAGATTAAGATACATAATAAACTTATAAACTATGTTATGGATAATTTGAAATAAAAAAATCTAAAGGGTAAGAAGATCCATTAAAAAAAGGTATCAGAAAAGGTATTAGTTTAAGTTCAGGAGTGAGTTATTTTTTGAACCCTCCATGATCTAGATGCTTGAAACAGATAGAAAAAAGCAGCTGAAACGATAATTACTTAAACAGGTAACAAACAAAAGTGCTGTTCAGAAACAGTAAAGGAAGGCAGAGAATTATGCTGGGTTAAGATTTTTTTATGACAGCTTTGCTTGCAAAAGCAAGGAAGATAAGCATTGGTCAGATGCCTGAAAGTGCTGTTGTGACTATGAACTTACAGGAATTGATTGACTCTGGTATCGTGCTGGAGGAGTTGTAAGGCCCATAAAGGAAGGCTGATGCGTACTCATCTGTCACGGCACTGTGAAAACTGGTTTGGCTGCTCAGGTTGTTGCCACTACTGCTGTTCCTGTTGTATAAGTTGTTGTTCAGTTCATGGTTATTTCTGTGAGGCAGCTGCAAGCTGCTACTCAAGTGGCTGGAGATTTGGCTTACAGAAAAACCTGTCCTAGAGGACGATGATGTCATTTTGCTTTCATCATCATCTGAAGCAGCACACAGGTTCCCTAGAGAACTGGCTAGTCTGGAGTTTATGGAAACGCTGAATGGAAAACACATGCAGGGGGGGAAAAAAAATACATACAAGGTATGTACAGATATATACCAAAAAAATATGAACAATTCAGAAGACATTAGGTGAATAACATAGACTATTCTAAAATAATCTACATTTACACACAGATTCATCTTCTAGCCCTCAAATAATGAAAACCGGAATTCTTTGTCAGGAGTTCCCAAACTTTGTTTATTCAAGTACTGCCACAGCCAGTTTTCATTTCTGTCAAACCACATGCACATGCAGGAGATCGTGTTAAAAGGTTTAGGCAGTGGCTGATCTACACTGAAGTACTTTGTGTACATGTAACAGTTTAAGAACTCCCCTTCTGTTTCTTGAAATCCGTAATGTGATACAAGTAACCAAGAAGTAATATGATAAAATTTGAGAATAAAAATAGAGTGTGCTGAAATATCTCTTTAAGTTAGTTATTTTCTTCAAGTAAACATTTGTGCTCAGAAGTTATTAAAAGTGCATCATTCTAAGTTTAATTTAACACCCATAATTACTTAGTAAAATAGTAATAATGGAATTAAATAGCAATAAAACAAGGGTACAAAAAAATCATATTAATTACCACTCAGTATTATTCTGACATTAATAGTATATAGACTTGTGGGAATACTTGCAAAACTTCTATACACTCAGATGAGTTTAAAAAAAAAAAACAAACACCACACACCCCAAACAAAAAAACCCCACCAAACACCAACAAACCCCCCCTGAGCAACATAATACTGTTTCTGACTTGATATAACTCCACCAAAACTCCCATACCAGCAGTACAGGTTTTGGTTTTTATTTGTTTTTTAAATTTGCAGGCAACTGAAATTTGGCTAGTGGAACAGCAAAACACTTTATAATTAAATTTAAGCCTTCTTACACTCAAGAACAGCAAGCATTTCATAGACTGCCTATGTGCTGAAAACCATTGTAGTACACAGTAAATATTTGTACCAAAATGAGAAGAAGAAAAAAAACCTTTTAAGATTAGAGCCTGAGGATGTAGGAATTCTGCTTATTCTTTCTGCAGATGGTGAATTAACTGCCATCACTTTGGAGGCCTTCAGAGGAGACATGGATCCTTCTGCGCTACCTGAAGTATTCAGTCTAAAAGGAATGCAGAGTTTTAGTGAGAAGCAAGATTCTTATAATTGAAATATACATCTCAGAAACACATACAATCTTTCAATACATAGACTGGTATTTTAAAAAGTGGGAATTCTCAAGTCTGAGTACTGAGAACTCAAACAGCAAAAACTCAACTGTTTGTCTGTTTTCAAATATCTTTTCAAAAAACCTTTTCAAATCATTGAATCATAGAATTGTTTAGGCTATAAAGGATCTTTAAGATTGAGTCCAACTGTAAACCTACCATGGCCAAGTCCACCACCAAACCATGTCCCTCTGACAAGTTTTTCCCCTGCTGTACCATATTATACACTTATAGGCTACTTTTCACCTTGATAATTTGTGAAGGCTAAGTGTCCATTTTGTATCAAATTTATTGTAAATTTGATTATAAGTTTTAAATATTTTAAATGTGAGAAAGAATATTTTTGTGTTTGGAAAGCAAGTATGAGTAGAAAAAAACAACACTATAGCTTCCATGAGAACATCGTCGTTGTTTCTAAATGACAGCAAGAACATTTTTAAAAAATTGCAGAGAACATACAGGTCTTTCTAGGGTGGGACTCTTAATGACCAAATTCTTCACATTTTGATAATGAGTTGTAAGTATGGTACACTGGGCTACTCAAAAATGTTAGCATCATAGTGGTCCATATTAGTTTATTAAAAACTAATATACAAACAGTCTCACAGTAGTATGAAATTCTCTCCATCCTTAGACCACGGGATATTATCACGATCAGCTCTTAAAGGATGAAAGACCTTGGGTACAAGTCTCCAACTACAAGCACAGAAGGAATGACATTGAGCAGAAACTGCTTTAATTCCACACCAAGAAAAGGTAAACAGACATCTCCAAGGTTAGACATCTGGAGTAATCCATCTCAAAAATCCAGGTTGTCACAAAACTGACAAGAATGTCTTTTCACTATTCATGCTTTACAATGACAGATATTTTGTCTTACATGTTGTATTTTAGATGCAATGGTGTAAAGAATGCAATGGTTACAAAACCAAAAGACTGAATTCTGCCATTCCTGTAACTCTTAAAATTAAGTCAGTTTTCACTTCACGTTTTATTTTCTTTTTGGGGGCACTGTCAGTACTGATTTGAGATTAGTACAGGTCATAAATGAAAAAAACATTTAGAAAATGAGAAAAAACTATTGGCTTTATTGACTCCACAGAAAGTTCTGAACAAAGCATGCAGTAAAGTGTGGACTCTCTGCTAAAATATGAAAAGGTACTAAAACTCAGTATTTAGCTGGTACATCTTCTAAAAAAAAAGTACTGACTGTATCCAGTAAGCAATACCTCTAGTTCATCCACTAAAATACACAGGACAAAAACTGTGATATGTAGACAATATGTGGCCAATTTAGGCTTTTGAGACAAGTATTTAATTTTACAGACATAAAGTGGTTATGAGTTAACAAGTCATCCTTCATTGCATAATAGTATAGATATTAGAAAATGTGATTGAGGAAGTTAATAAATAATTAGCACATCGAAGTAAGAAGATTCAAGGTATCCCCAGAGTACAGCTGTACCCCTGTGTCAATTAGATTTCCCCCCCCCCCTCCCCTATTTGCAGGAGCTTAAAAAAGTTTGTTACCTGTTGTTACCTGCCACTTCTGAGAAGTCTGAAATTGCTGATCAATTGATGTGATAATTCAAAACACTGAAAATTTAAGATCTGAGTGGTATACATTTAGAACTATAATTTTAAAGTCAATACCTGAATGGTTGTGATATTGACCTGGTATGCAGTTTCATGTCTTGCAGCCTAAAGAAACAAAAGCAGCAATCTTTATCAAAGGATAAAAAGCCTTTCCCTTCCCCCAAAGCATACTTGGTATGTCTCATACTGGCTTTAAAGAGTTCAGTCAGTCTCATACTGACTAACAAGAGCAAGAGTTAAGAATTATTGACAATCATTATTTTAATTTACAGTTAAACAACAGAGAGGTACTTCAGGTTTATTTTCAAACTTCACATTTTTACTGGTTCTGAAAAATTCAAGATTTATATAAGAAGTGCAGAAAAGTAATTACAGAAAGATAACTAAGTTCATTGAAGAATATTTTGAGACCTAAGTTTTAAAATGCTAGATAGATATACATTTGAAGGTTTCCAGACATTTTTCTACTTTTTTCTTTTACTGCTACATTGTAAGTAGGTATCCTGAACAGGGAGACCGGGGGAGCGGGGGAAGAAGAAATTAATAAACCAAATCTGCAACTAACAGATATATACCTTGAGAAATTTCTACCACAGAAGGTGGTACAACTAGTACCACTGCCTTAAACGACATTATGTACTTGCCATAAAGGTCTGATAGCATAGACTGAATTTAAAATTGCAAATTACCTCAGAATTAATTACCTCAGAATTCCAGTTGCAGCAGAATATGGCCGTCTCCGACTTTTTAAGGCATTAAGCTTATCTCCCTGCGTCATACCATTCTGAGTTTCCACACCTGCTTTGTCTTCAAAATCATTCTGAGAAACACAAAGTATGCAAACAAGGAAATATATTAAATCCTTAGAACTAGTGTAGTTTCAGAGTACTAAAGATCGCCTTCACAAAGATTATAATTTAAAAGGCTAATCTACAGTCTTCTGCATACCTGGGGCACTACTCTGTCTTTGCATAGTTACAATAAATTAAATGCGTCACTGTACAAACGCTGTCCTGGTTTGGCTAAAAC